AAATTTTGTAAAAAAAAAAAAAGAATAAATCCAAATTAATTTTGCAATGTTTTTCTAAAATGATAGAATTGAATAATAGATGAAAATAATCTTTAATCTTTAATTATTACATTTTTAATACTAAAATAAATATCATTAACAAATAATTATCTTTTAGAAGATTTGATTAAATCCATTGATAAGATTAATCATTGATGGAAAATCTAATCTTTTCTTAATCATATTCCTATAACATTTATCGATTGTAGGCACGAATAAATGAAGTAATAAGACAAAAATTCCGAATATTTTATGCAATAGTTTACAACGAATTATTGAAGATAGTTCACCAAATCTTTTTCAGGTAATATTTTTGTAAATTATTTTCTCTTCCATAAAAAGATGATAAAAATTAAAAAAAAAAAATTTTGAAATGACAAAAAGTAATGAAATTCATTTTGAAATGAAATTTTTAATTGATGTAATATAGGTGCCTGTCTCAAAATTTCACGTATTGAATGAAAATTCAATTAATTACAAAATTTCTCACATTTTTTCTGAATTTTTCTTTTCCTTTTTTTTTTTTGTAACATTGTAAAAAATCTTTTTTTAAAATAAAATTTTGAAAAATATATTTTGGAAATTTAATTTATTAAGGAAGGGAAATTTTTTACGACGAAATTAAAATGTTACAAAATCGTTTGTAATAATATCAATAATAATGAATTAAGATAATATGATGATAATTTGAATGTAAAAATATGAAATATAAAATATTAATCAATAATTTCTACTTCTTTTTATTTTTGCATTTGCAGCGTTTAGCATTTATAAATTTAACTGATCATTTTGATTCCATTAATTTGGTTGATAATCATAGTATAAGCAAACTTTTTCGTCGTCTTACTAATGGTTTATACATTGATAATCGTAATATTAATGATCCAATTATTACATCGGATTATTTTGAAACACAACAGAAAGGTTTGTTTAATTTCCTATTCGAAATAATTTTAAAAATTTGATATCAAAAAAAGATTTGGGAAAATTTTGAAATTATTTTCTTAATACGAAATAATCTTAAAATTTATCCAATTAAACTTTGTAATGCAAATTTAAAAAAAAAAAATCCCTTAAGATGATTTTAGTGTTTGAAGTGATAGCTTTAAAATTCTTCAAATTAATATTATCTAAAAAGCAATCCGATAAATAAAATTTATTTTTTTTTGGAAGCAAAAATAAAAATGTTTCCGGAAAAATCTCAAACTTTACTTTCAGGAAAAAAAAAGGAAAATAAAAGATTTAATTTTTACTAGTAAAATTATTATTTATATAATTTTGGATTGGATATTGTTAGAGGGAAATTTTAAGGTGAAATCAGATATGTCGATGATCATCGTCCAACTCCATTTAATGCTCCCGTAATGCATACCGGAAATGATTCATCCAGAATGTTGTATTTCTACGGTTCGGAGTATCTGTTCAACTCATTTCTTTATCATGCTTATGAGGGTGATCGTATGATTGTTGAGGTAACAAAGAGTGGAAAAAAAAAAAAAAAAAAAAAAGAAAACAAAACTATTTCTATTTGTCTCATTGAATTATTTTCGAATTAAATTCAAATAATAATCGAAGTTTTTTTTTTCTTTTCAAATTCCTATTTAATCATTAATTTGTTTGTTTTACACAAATAGATTGATGAAAATACTTTGCCACCACAATACAAATCAATTGTTCGAACTAATTGTGATAATTCACAACAAAATAGCCGGAATTTCGTATCATACCTTTGTTTGGGTATTTTAATACCGGAAATAGCTAAACATTATCCGAATACATCATCATCCTTCCTGTTATTACCGCATCAAGTTCCGGAATTTCGATTTTCAAAAGATACAGGTTCTATTGATCTAAAAAGTTCGTTTATTTCCCCCCTTTCTTAACATTTAATTTTTAAATTTTTACTTTTTCTGCAAACATTATTTTTTGTAAATTTGCTATAATTTATCAAACATTTTCTTCGAAATTTAGCTAAATTTTAGAAATTTTGAAATCCAAACAAAAAGAACTTTTATCATAATTAAATTAAAATTATGAAATAAGTTTTAATGAAATTTAATACAAATGCAGATCGTGTGTTAACATATATAAATGATGGTAAGCGAAAAAAACAAATCATGGTAAGTACAGCAGATCTTCAGGCGGATTTTCGCTTACTTATTGAAGATGAGAAATTTGCGGCAGCTTTGAAAATTAATAAATTTAATATAAGGTATTGAGGATTTTTTCTTACTAAAAAAAAATTTTTTTTTCAATAAATTAAAAAAAGGAAAATTTTACTACAATTAAGGCTTAATCATAGTTTTATATGTTAATCAAAAATTGTTGTTAATTATTAAAATTCAATAATAATCTGAAATCTATATTTTACTGAAATAATATTTTATCAATTATTGGGCATTTAAATCAATTTTTAGCATAAAATTTTACCATTATTAATTAACATTTTAGGTTACATCGAAGTGCCATTAAAGGCCTTACAAGTAATTCAATTACACAACTTGCGCCATTAGCTAAAACATTCCTCGGACCTCAACTTGTTAAGGCATTGAAGAATGGCATCCCACTTCCATTAACGGTTAATTTATTTTAATGTAAATCATTCAAAATTTTTAACTCGTTATTAAGTAATACTTAATTTTATAAATTTATCCAAAAGTGATAATATATCTTCATGAATTATAAAATTTGATGGCAATTGTTTGTTTAAAATTTGTACTTATTGATTGAAATTTTTGATTGGAAGTTCCATTGCTAGTATTTGTTAATTACATTAAATCATCCGTTACGGAATGTTTTTCCACATTTTACATTTATATAAATCTGTCAAAGATGAGAAAAAAATTAGAAGAAACCGTCCACTTTAAATTTTATCAAAGTGATGAAACATGAATTGTATTAATTTAAAATGTTTGAATGTTATCACAAAAAAAGGGGGGAAAAAACGAAAGAAAAGGAAAATTTAGTATTGCTTATTAATTTTGCAAGAGTGTAATATATTGAAGTGTTTTTTTTTGTTCTTTTCAGGATTCAATTGAATTTATCAATCCAGAATTAATTATTCATGATAAATACGTCGAAATTGCAACCGATTTTCGTTTAGGCGAAAAGCATTTACGCGAGGAAGTTAAGAAAGCATTTGCTTCAGTATTTCATACTTGAATGCATATAGGATGATGATAATAATGATCTGTTATCATGATAATTTTTGGTCTATTGTGATATTTTTAAATGAATATTCCCGCTTTTCTTATTGCATCTTTTTCTTTAAAAATTATTTCACACTATTTGATAATGAAAATTTTAAATTAAAGTTTGTAAATATTTCATAATTAACTTCTTAGTATTTTAAAAAACAAAAAGTAAAAAGTGTTATGTTAAATTAATCCCTCTAAGATTTTGATAGTTTCATTTTGTTCTTTTTTTTCTCCCCTAATAATGTTTCTTTTTCTTTTTCTGCAATTAAAAAAAAGACTTAAAATTTAAACATTTGAAATATTTTTAAAAATAATTTTGCAAAATTGCCATAAAATTAAAGCTATCATTGAATGTACCGAATATATATATATATATATATATATATATATATATATATATATATATATATATATATATAT